ATGTATGCAGAAGGAAGCTTTGGATGGGGTTGTATGGCAGACTGTCTTCTGCCCATACACTGATCCTCCATTCCTCTTCCCCAGCTGATGGTTATCACCGTCATACTGGGAAAAATATTTATGAGAACATCAAGTCTCTTCTTCACTCCTCTATGCTAGGAGTGAGGCTACAAAGTAATAGCTGGCATAAATAGTTCTCTAAGTCTAACCTCAGCCATTCAGAAAATACTTCAATAATTTTGGACCTATGCATTTTTTAGGTTATTCCATGTTTGACTTGATACCTGGGGTCAGATAGCATAAGGCTCAACCCTATATTACATTGTCTAAAAAAATTTCTATTAGAGTGCACCGATGTATTAGTTGTATATCAGATCAGCACCAATAAAGAGAAAATTAACATTATCAGCCATTGACTTCTTTTGGCCAGTACAGTTGATAATTTCACTGATAAATGCCACGTGTATGCATGAGCCCGCAGCATGCACACAGCCAGGAATGCAGCCAGGCAGCTTGGATAGCAGTGTCCTGCCGGTAAGTCTGTGGGGAGCAAGAGGCATGGGGTAGGGGACAGATTGAGGCCCCCAGCGTGAGGGAGGGAGTGGGGCAGGGGCAGGCACTATCTAGCCAGGGCAGTGAATGCAACCCCACAGCCAGGAGTGGGATGGAGCTGTGAGAAGCTTGCCCAGAGAGTGCAGGAGGGAATGGTGGAGGTGGATCTCCACTGCTGCACACCACCCCCAAGGGAGGCATAGAGGACATATGCTCCCCCAATTGGTGTGTGGGGTGAGGGTAGGCTGCCCGCTGCAGGCTCAGGGCTAGGGGCTTTGGTAGCCTCTTCCAAGAAAGGGGGGCTGGGTCGGGGCTGAGTTCAGGGCAGTCTCAGCCACGTGGGGCATGCAGTGGTGCTGGGAGGAGTGGCTATGGGGAATTCTGGGGTAGCTACAGCCCCCAAATACCCCCGCACAGGGCTCCTGAGGGAAAGGCAGCAGAATGGAGTGCCCCAAGCAGGGGCAGTACTGGGGGGGGTTGTGGGGCTATAGCCACCCCAAAATTCCCTGTACCCCCCATAGCCGCCCCTCCCAGCACCTCCACTGCTGCCCACCCCATGCAACTGAGCCTGCCTCACCCCTGTCCACCTTGGCCCAGCTAGCCCACTCCCCCCCACCCCAACTGGAAAGAGGCTGGTTGGTGTAGCCCCTGGCCCTGAGCCCGCAGCAGGCATCACACCCTCACCCTTCGCACAAATTGGGGGGGGCACATGCCGCCCCAGGGGTGCACACAGCAGCAGGGAGCCACCTCCCCTCCTTACCCCCCACTCCCGCTGGATGAGCTGCCCATGACTCCATCCCGCTTCTGGCCCTGGGGTCACATTCACTGCCCTGGCTGTGCAGCACCTGCCCCTGCCCTACTTCCTTCTTCACTGTGGGGGCCTTGATCTGCTCCTCCCCATGCCCCTTTCCCCACCCCCCCTCACAGACTTACTGGCAGGACACTGCTCTCCAGGCTGCCAGGCTGCATTCCTGCAAATCAGTTATCAGATCAGTATTGGCTGATATGGCTGGTTAATAATCAGTCATTTGTATCAGCCAAGAACATCTTTATTGGTGGACCCCTACTTTTTATATGCTCAATCAAGCCATTTGTAACAGACTTTCATCTAAGTTAGCAAGTGTTAAGGACTTCTCTCTAGATGCAGAGAGCAGCACTGAACACAGCTTTTAAAGAGGGTTTACTTGTCCAAAGAATCATGTCTGGATCGTAGGCTTATGAGAAGGTACCATAAGCTTCCATGGTCAAGCAGCTATGTTTTAGCAGACTATATTTGAACAAAATTAAGGGTCTTTATGTGCAAGACTTAGCAATCAAGCTATATTTATATTCCTTTGTTCTCTTTGAAGGTTCAGCATCTGTCAGAAAAGCTCTTCTACTTAGAGCTTTTGAAGAAACGTGAAGACAGCTTTGAAAAACAGAAAGTGGAACTTGTGAATCAAAAGGATATTCTTCTGCACATCTTTGTATGTTTCCAGCTACGGTACTTAGAATAATTCAGTTCTACAAAAATTTATGACTGCACTTACATTTAAATTCTGAAAAAATATATCAATTAGATACAAAAATAGGAATTATTAACATTTTGCTTTGGCCCTAATAAATTAAAGCCTCAAAGAAATGCATGATGTAACTCCAAACTTAAATACTGTAGATAAAACACATCTTGGAAAAATCACCACAACTCAATCAGCAGTCTTAATTTCAGTTTCCTAATTTCTGCTGGTTGTTGACCAAAGTCTTATTTTCACATATGATCTCTTTTCTTAAAGACAAATGGCAAAAGCCCTTGAGATGGCTTGGATTGCCCAATTCCACAGCTGAATCTGTGGGAGAGACTTGGGTTGCAGGGGTACAGGGAAATCACAATGAGGAGCTAGAGAAGCTTCTTCCCTAATGATTTTAAGAGAGGTACTAAGCTTTCCTTCCAGTCAAAGAATAGGCTTGCAGGACACACCCCTATATCCTGCAGATCTCTTGGGATCTGTATTAATTCTTCTGACTTCAGTAGGAGGCCAGGACCACTCTCAAGAAAAGTGGATCCTCCACATACTCTGTATCCTTAGCAGTATCTATACTGGTGGGGGCCAACCTTTTTTGCAGAAGTGCCACAAATTAGCCCCACGCCTTCCCGAGAGCAACTCTGATCCTTTTCTCTGTTGCTCAGCTTTCTGCTTCCTGCCTTGTGCTCCCTACCTGATCTGTTGCTCTGCTTTCTGCTCCCTGCCATATTGGCCATGGAGCTGCCTCTCTCCTCCCCAGTCTGCTGCATCCCACACAGAGAGGCTGCCCATGTCTCTTGTGGCATCCACGCTGTACTCTGGCCACCCTGATCTGTAGAACGGAGTTACCAAGCCCTCCTCTGTGCATGTCTTGCAGCATCTCACCCAAACTGAGCTCTGTGGAAAGTAACACAGTGTAAATCAATCATGCAATTCCTTTGTTAAAAAGACCCAGCAGACTTCAGGCCACCATATTACCTCAACACAGTGGCTCTCAACGTTTTTTAGACTCAAGACAGCCCTCAACAGAAACAAGGCAATCTCCATAACTTTTCTTAATTCAGGAGCATCCTGTTTCAAAACCTAACTTAATTATTGCAGTGCTTAACTCTTTGTAGAGGGGCCAGGCACTGGAGGAGGAGGAACACCCAGGCAGACAATGATTCTCTGCTTACCTATGTATCGCTTCACATCTTGTAACACCTTTCAAAGGGTCTTGAAGCACCTCTACATGCCCTGACATCCTGGTTTGGGATCACTGCCCTAACAGTTCACTCATCCCCCTAGCCTGCCCTTCTTCCCTGCACACATGCCTACATGACATGATTGCCCTTATTTCTTTAAAACGTGGTGTTTCATTTGGAACATTAAAAAAAATTCACAGTGCCTACACTTAAAATCTTTTCATAGTTGCCTTTATAAGTAGTGCAGCATCCTAGGTATTCCTTATATTCAGTGAAGGAGAGAAAATAGGAAATACCACAACTATCACAGTAATCTTTTTAGCTGTAAAATCAAAATTGCTGTCTCTTGATGGAATGTGAATTTGTGATCTATTCTGCCCATCCAGGTTTGATACAGAAGTTATCTTGTTTTAGAGGTAAATCAATTTTGTTTAATTTAGTATTAAGTGTTTTGAATTGATTTAATTTTGGCAATGACTTTAAGGATGAGTTTTTCTATAAATGGAACAGTTTTTCTTTAAAACCAATTTCAGAAGGTGCTGAGAGAACGCTCATCTTCCACTGGCTTGAGCAAGGGCCCGCTTTCTTGGACTGTCTTTTGGAAGTTACATAGGGCACTGGCCTTTTCCTGGCCTTCTGCAAAAAGAGTTTCACCCTTAATGAGTAATTTAAAAAAGAAAGAGTGACCACATTATGCCATTGATTTTTAAGCAGAACTCTCTATTGATTTCAATACAGAGCTCTTTGTACAAATTGTTGGCATAATACAGCTTGTAGCACTGCTTGTATATAAAGAATACACTTCTCATTTTGTCACAAAACAAAATGGTAGGGTTTATGCAAAAGCAAGAATGATGGAGATAGAGACCATTTTCCTGTTTGTACAGGTCAGAAAAATAGAATGCATGCTGTTTTTTTATTCATAGATTCAAAGATTGTTAGGGGCTGGAAGGGACCTGGTAGATCATTGGGTCCAGCCCCTCTGCACTAGGCAGGAAAAGCCAACTGGGGCCAAGTGACCCCAGCAAGGTGACTGTCCAATCTCCTTTTGAAGATTTCCAGAGTAGGTGACTGCACCACCACTGGAGGGAGTTTATTCAATTTAAGGAAATAAGTTTTTTAATTTCAGACTGATTGTTTTAATAAAAATTCTGCCTTTTCTCTTTATGTTAAATCATTTTTCATTTTTAGATTGATACAAAGAGAAGAATGACCGAAGAAGAGGGGAATTTTATTATGGAAATAACAGAGTTTAACAATGAGTATGGATTAACAAGTAACAGAGATATTTTGATTAAAAAAAAGATTAAGACTGAAATGCATGATTTAGAAAACGAAGAAAATATTTTGAAAGATGGTATGTCATCAGGTTGCAACTCTTTCCTGGGGCCAGTCCCACACTGCTTGGCTAATGTGCCCTGCCCATGGGGGTCCCAGGAGACCCTGCCCACCCACTTCATCCAGCACCCCCAGTGGTGGGTGTGGGGCGGAGGGGCCCAGGGCCATATAGGATCAGTTGCTTCTCCCCACCCCAGGCCAAGTCAACAGTCCCCCCCCCCCAACAGCTCACCAAAACCCCTTGAGTGGCCCTCCATCCCAAATATGTGTCCACCCACCCCTGGGCTAGACTGTGAAACAATGATCTGCCTTACAGCAGCCCAGGAGGGAGATTCTGATTCAGCCATGTCTCAGGGTACTTGTATTGGCCAGCACATTAAAGGATAGAGTCAAAGATCCTCCCATTTCCCACCCCATTCCGTCCTTCGCTGTCCATAGCGCTATTTTGACAGCAACAGGTCTGTACAACCTACCTCCTGTCCTGAACTGCCACCTGTGATGTTGCAGCCAGAAAGAGTCATAAAAGGGTACCCCCTTGGACTGCCATACAAACCAAGATCTTACAAATCCTTCTAACTTCCATGGGAATTAAATGCACAAACACTTTGTAGGCCTAGTCTTTTACAGTGAGATTGAAAAGGATTGTATGACCTTGTTAAAATATATAATTTCTAATAGCAGATACTCTAACCACCTCTTTCCTTTTATGTCTTTTTGCTGACTGGGCAGTTAATTTTCATGGCATACAGGAACATGCACATAACCCAGATCTCTCCTTTCTTATGTATTAAAACAAGGGCTACTTGAACAGATTCAGTTCACATCTTCCCAGCAAAAGATGGCTCACATTCATAGCAATTAAATCCAGTGGTCTGGCAACATTAATGGCCAAAACAGTAAAAAATGAATCTCTAAGGACACCTGACCTAAAAAACCTCATTCATCATACAACTGACCCTCATATTTCCTGACTGCTGTTTACAGGTCACAGTAATAGGGTTGTCCATTTTAGTTTCCACTTCTTGCTTCTTCAACTTTTGATCAAAGTGACTCCAGCTTTGACATAGCTAATTAGGAGAATGCTGTCTCCACTAGTTGGCAGCTATTGTATCTAGTGATTAACAGAAGTCAGTGAGGACATTCCCCCCCGCAAAAAAACAGAGAACCTACTTGTATTTAACACTTTCCTCTAAGTCTAGCCTAGTCTAGTACTATGCCTTGCCACTTGTGTGACTGTGCTTTTTAAACAACATTTGTGTCTACCACCAATTACACTGTCAGCAACAAAAATAGTAATATGTAAGTAGAAATAATAATTCAGGAATATTTTATTCCTTACTGAGTGTCATCAAAATATATGGCTTAAACATCCATGACACTAACTACAAATCCTTACCTCGACATTGTTAGGCCTCTGAAAAAGCATTTGTCCAAAAGCACAGGTCATCCTCCTAAATAATTTGAGTAACACTTCAAAATAAAATATACAAAACTAATTTTTATTCAATCAACAAACTGTGGCTTATTTTATGAATGCTAAAAATAAATTTATTTTAAAACTAATGAATACATAATACCATATGTAATTTCTTGTAATTTGGGTTCTATAAGACTAATTGTAATTTTATCCTTAATGTCCTTTCAAATATCTGAAGGCAGTTAGAAATAGTTTAAGAGTATTTAAGATTACATCATGAAGATTAAAACTATAATACTTTTTAATTTAAAATATAATTATTTCCTCTTAGAAATGGAGTCAGTGGAACATAAACATGTTCAGTTAAATGCACTCCAGCTGCAGAAGAATGAATTAAAGCAGGATTTATTTACTCTTCAAAGCAAACTCAAAGGTATTCATGTGTTTGATAATCACTTGTTATGATAATTATTTTTGGTTTGATAAATACATTTGACAAATGATTTCTGTCAGGTTATTTTTCTCAACAGATTAGAGTAAGTCACAGAAGTAAGATTTTTGTATTCTTGTTTTATAGCCTAATTAGTCATTTTAAAATATGGCTACAACAAATACCGAGTTGTGATGAGATTTATACTTCCGTCACTGATACAGAGCGTATAGGAGATTTTCTGAATTTTATTCCCATAAATATGAAAAATGAACTCCTACTTTTGCAGATAAAATAAATATATAAATTTAAAACTTAGTACATCAAAATGAAAATCAACCGATACATTCTTTCAAAAAGCCCATTAGGAATCTGTAATCAAAGTAAATCCTCCAAGTACTCCATACCAAATATTTATCTACAACATTTAACAAGCAATAAAACACTGAGGGTGTTGGTCTGAAAACTGAACAACTAAGAAATGGAGGCTATCATGGGCCAATCGGAAGATGAATGAGAATGATAATTCATGAAGGACCTTGAAAGCCAGGAGAAGTAGCTTATGGTGATTCAACAAATAAGTGGGAACCAGAAGAGGGATGCAAAAGGGGAGACATGGCCAAAACAATGGACTAGGACCGTGGGTCTCAACCTTTTTAGACTCAGGGCACCCCTTGATAGACTTCAAGAACCTCTCAGAAAATGCCAGCTTATTGTTTTCACTTGCTTTTTGACGACAGAAAAATAACAGAGTAATTCTTCTGTCGAACAAGACTCAGAAGGATCGCAACTGGTCAGAAAAGTTTTTAACATTATAGATTCCTACATGACATCTCTAGGTTTACCTTGTGTGGCACCCTTGAAAGGATTTCAAAGCACCTCAGGATGCCACCGAGCCATGGTGGAGAATCACTGGACTAAGAGAAAAATCTTCACAGCAAGCTTTCTGAATTGATACAAGTGAGGCAGTATTGCAGCTATCAAAGACAGAGAAAAGAATAATTACAATGATAAAGATGTGAAATAATTAATGAGCTGCGTGGCTAGATAGGAGAGAGGTGTTATGGAGAAAGAACTGGCAAGACTTGGAGCCTGTAGGGGAATACCTAGGAAAAGCTTTTAGTCAAAGATGATGCCCAAGGTATGGGTCTGAAACAACAGACTGGATGGTGATAGCATTCACAGTGATTGAGGAAGAAGGTAACACAGAGCATTACTGAACACAGCGTTACTGAAACAGTAACAATTAAGAGCTTGACTTTTAACATCTTGAACCAGTGCTGACAAAACATTCATGAGTACATGGATGGCAGAAAGACCACAATTACAGTTTGGACAGAGGTAGGCAAGTCCAAAGCTGAGAGGTATATCTATGAGTTGTCAACACAGAGACAGTAATTGAATTTCTGTTTATATATGTGATTTCCCAGAGATAATATATATAGAGAAAAAAGGAGGACACTAAGGAGAGAACCCTATGGAGCCACGCAGAAAGTTGGACTTGGAGAAGGACTGGGGGGGAAATTGAGGCAGATGCACTGAAAGGCAGCTAAAGATAGGAGGGAGAAGGAAGAAAACCTAGACAAGGACGGTATCATGGAAGCCAAGAGAACAAAAATTTTCAAAAACAATTACCGTTGTCAACAGTGTCAAAACTGGCCAAGGAGGAAGGAGATGGAATACCAGTTCTAATATGCAACTTAAAGAATATTACATTATTTACAGAATACAAATATTTTACCTTCATCAACTGTATAAAAATCTTTTAAAAGTGACATAACTAACCAGATTGTTCATTTACTATTGTCAATAGCATATATTACAACAGTTGAGCGATGAAAAAGTCAGGCCATAATGTTTTCTTTATAAGGTTAAATATTGTAGCATACAACTGTTACAACCATCCTGTAGACTCTGCAATTGCCTGAAATGTTGCAATTATATGCCAGTTAGAAATACAAATATTTGCATTTTAATTTTGTGTACTGTAATATTTTCATTTCCATAGCAGCTTACACTTTAATAACTCGTGAGTAAGAAAGGTAGGCTGCATCTGAATAGAGATATTTACCATATCCTGGTAAAAACACTCTCACTTTATGTTTAGATGTTGAAGAACAAGTCAGAGAAGCTGAAGGTATCACAAGATGTTTAGAAGCAGAAAGAATCAAAGTTGGTGAAAAACCTCAGACTGATACTGAGTGTTTAAGGTAATAATCATTAGTTTTTAGAAAGTCTTAAAATTTGTCTTTCTAATTTTGAACCAGCCCGATCACATTGTGGAACTAGTACTGAGCCTGTTTGCCCATTCCTGCACAATATTCTTTTGAAGACAGACAAACTCATTCTAGTTTATGACGACAAATCCCATTATCCTTCTTTACGGCTCCCACTGAAATAAAAGGGCTTGATCTGTGTCAAGGAATCTACAATGCAACTTGGGTAAAAGAGCAAAAGTAATTTTTTAAGACACTTTTGCAACTTACTATCCTTGATCCATATGTGAGGGGGGCCAAGCCCTCAATTTACATCAAAGCGGTGGTGTCGTGTGGTGCATTGATTAAATTCTCCTTCGTTACCCATTGCCATATTGGCTGCCAGTTAGCTCTATCACATGTCCAGGCTGTTCAACTTAACAGAACAGAATGGCAGTCGCAGCACCTCTGCACCAGTTGTGCAGGGCAGTAGGGAGATCAAGTTCACACAAATGCATGCTTGCTAAATCCTTTCCCTGTTCCACAACTGGCCTGTCCATAGTGTGGCCTTCTTTTAATGAAGCTAATGCTTCATGCACAGCTGCTCCCGTTTCTCTACGAACAGACTTTCCTTGACTTTGGGGATTGACCACAAGATGAAAATGAGCCTGCAGTGTGATACTGATGCTAGTAAAGCAAGCAAAACGCTTGCTTGCCTCCACAGATTCTTCTCAAGTAAATCCCAGGACATCATCTTCCCGTTGTACTCAGCTTTGGTGAGGCCGCAGCTGGAGTACTGCATCCAGTTTTGGGCTCCACAATTCAAAAAGGATGTGGAGAAGCTTGAGAGGGTGCAGAGGAGAGCCACATGCATGATCAGAGGTCAGGAAAGCAGACCTTACGACGACAGGCTGAGAGCCATGGGACTCTTCAGCCTGGAAAAGCGCAGGCTCAGGGGTGATCTGGTGGCCACCTGTAAGTTCATCGGGGTGCTCACCAGGATCTGGGGGAATATCTGTTCACCAGAACACCTCAAGGGATGACAAGGTTGAACAGTCACAAATTCCTCCATGACCATTTCAGGGTGGACATAAGGAAGAACTTCTTCACTGTCCGAGCCCCCAAGGTCTGGAACAGCCTGCCATCAGAGGTGGTTCAAGCACTTAACTTTGAACGCCTTCAAAAGACATCTGGACGTTTATCTTGCTGGGATCCCATGATCCCCACTGACTTCCTGCCCCTGGGGCAGGGGCTGGACTCCATGATCTTCCAAGGTCCCTTCCAGCCCTAACATCTATGAAATCTAGTAAATCTACCTAAACATAACGTTCCACATTTTTATTACGTACAGATCTTAATGCTACATTCTTGAGGTAGAAACCACAATAAAATACTAGACACATGTTACCGCCCTGTTTTCTTTTCTGTGGCCTGGTCCATGAAATTCTTCTTGGATGTGTCTAAGTTTTTACCAGGTAGAGGAAAGGTCCTCTTGCCACTAAGTGCCAGTCCAAAATTTTTCCCCATGAAAGTATTTAATGAGGGGAAAAAAAAAACAAAAATCCATTTGTTGTCAATTGCTGTATTTAAATTTTTGAGTTTTTGTGAAAACCAAAATATTTTGGCTGAAATATTTGAACAACAGATGATATCTTGCATACAAAACAGAACGTTTTTCTGAAAAATTCATTAGGTTGAAAACCCCATTTTCTATCAAACAAAACTTTTGACAGGAAATGATCAATTGGACCCATTCCAAGGCTTTTCCACCCCTTATACAGAGCTGAGATATGGTCAAAATTCCCTCTAAATAAAATTTAATTAGCCTGCATTGCTGCACACATTGGCAAAACTCCCAGTGTTCAACATATATAAAGAAGACAAAATGTAAATAATAGCTGCAGCTGTTGGTCCATAAGGTGATGTTTTTATAATTCTCTTCTGCATTATTCATTCCATGTGGATAAATTAGCTAGTGTGATGTATGAAGTTGTCACCTTCTGAATACCATACTTCTCAGAGTTTACTGCTGAAATATCAGTTAATATCAAATCGGCGTAAGAAGCTTGCTAAAGAAGATTGTGTCTAAAAGTACTAGCACGAATTAGGATTACATTCAATCCCCTACCTCTGCCAGTGACTCACTTCAACACCCCAGACAAGGCATTTATCTGACCTGTGCTGCCTTTATCCCCATTTTACAATTTAGGAAATTAACTCATGAGGGATTTAGTGCACTTTGCTCACTATTTGTAAAGTCATTTGACAGCTTTGGAGAAAAGGGACTGGAGAAGATAAAGCATACTAGTCTTCACAGATACTGAACCATCAAGCTTAACATGGAAGTCAAATCATTAGGAAATAAGGCTAGGTACATTGGTGAACTGATTTTTTTTTAATTTTATGTTATAGGTAAGCTTGTATTAGTTATAGGATGCATAGAACTTACAGTGGTGTGAGCAATAAAAACTGAGCATTCACTAATACATAACTAGACTTACAAAAAACCCTACTATGATCACAAAAAATCTATTTTAGCACTTCACATACTGGCGGCCAAAATTCAGAGAACAGTTTAAAATAGCCCATAATTGTCTAAGTTAGTTTCTTTTCACCTTTTTTCTTTCTGGCCCTGGTGACTCATCAGACACTCTTAGATTCCTGTATCCTTAATGATATATTTCTTACAGCTGTTCACATCACCCGCTGAGCTAAAAGAGCATAAGGGAATCCAAGATGATTTAATTTACGTGCCATTTAATATTAAATTATGGGGTAAAATCATGGAGACTGTAGACAAAAGGCAGCTAATAAGTATAATCACAACATCTTATACTTTCTCAGCCTCACCATGGAATGAGTCATTTAACAATAAATACAAAATCGGAAAGGAATAGACGTTGGCTCGTAATTTGAGCCAAGAGTCACCATTCATTAAAACACCTTTCATTACTTTGCTTCATATTCTATAGCTGTATGTTCAACAAGAAACATTTTCTGGCCTTTCCTTCAAAGTGATAAGCTACATTACATTAAACAGCTCTTAATGCTGAATGAAAGAGGCAGAACATCAATACATCAGACACGAGGCTGACTCAGCAAGAAAATAAATGCACTTCCACATTTGTTTAGGGCTTGACTAAATCCTGGTATTTTGGTTGTGATTGGTATTTTCCTTATAAATTGAACAATTACAATATATTATATAGGAAATATTTTTAGTATAAAATCTGAGAAACAATTAACAAAGCAAAAAATATAGCAAGTAACAAAGCAACTTAGCTCAGTTTTGAAATTTAACTTTTATGTTATTCCTAGTAAAAGATTTCTATGTTGCTTGAAAGCAAAATCCACTTAAGGGACATTCAACCACAGTGGTACTTTACAGGCAGCCTATTCTTTTTCCCCAAAACACAGGAAGTTAAACTTACTACACTAGCAGTTCTGTATAATTTTCTACTGAAATGTTTTATAATAGAGACATGATTTTGTATATATAAAAATGGAGTTGATTTTTAGGTCCTGAACGCACAGTTAGACCCACAGGCCACATCTGGATGAGAGAGCAAGTGCCTGTTGTGGCATCTCAAAGCAGTTTGAGATGCCGCAGGAGGCACGCCGCAAATGAAAAAATGTTCACCATGCTGCAAATATGCAGTGCAGACTCTAAGTAAATCAGAAAATCCCAGTATCAAAAGAAAACATGCGGGAAAGAAGTGGTGGAGGAGTGTGCCCCGAAGCAACTGGAGGCTGGGTCCTCCAAAGAGACTTCAGCTCCAGGCCAGAGTGTCTCTACGCCTGCTGCATGCCTCTGCTGCTCTAGCATGCTGCCTGTGTGCTAGAGGAAACAGAAGCAGGGCAAGGCTGGCAGCACTGACCCAGAGCCAGGTAAGCAGGGATGTGGGGGTGGGGGTACTGTGGGGTCGGGAGACTCTGTGGGAGGGGTGGGTCCCCCACCCACCTCCCCATGGCACACAGCCTCCCCTGCCCCCCACTCCCCGGCTGCAGCAGCCAGCAGCAGGCTCCCGTGTTGCTCATGAACTGCTGCAGGCAAAGTCCCCCAGCAGTGCATGGTTCCCTGAGACCCGGGGGCTACAAATGGCACACAAAGCCAGCCCACCCCACTGGCATGCACCTTCAAACAGGACCGGGCTGGCTCCTGCCACCACTTGGGTCTCCTGGCACTACAGGCAGGAGCCACACACCAGTGGGCCAGGCTGGCTCCTACCTCCATGGGCTTCACATGCCATCATGCTGGGCCAGCTCCTGCCTCCATGGAGCCACCCCAGGCCTGATGGCACTCAAGGCAAATGGAGGCAGAAGTCACTGCAGCCTAATACCACGAGACCCCTACCTGCAGTGCAGGGAGCCCCGGGTGGTGGCAGGAGCTGGCCCAATTCTGTTTGAAGGAGCATGCCAGTGAGCTGGGCTGGCTCTGTATGCCACATGTAGCCCCCAGGTCTGAGATGGCACCACACACTGTCCAGGGACTGCCTGAAGCAGGCCATGCATGCCCTGAAGGTCCACTGCTGGCTGCTAGGAGGGGGAAGGGAAGGGCAGGGAACCTACCCCTCCCACACAGTCTCCCCATAACCCCTCCTTCCCCGCCCTTA